CAAGTGGGCTTCCGTCCTCCTACCTGGTTCCCATGATTTACATGGCCTAAGGACTTATCTTGGGTTCACACCACCCGATACCGGTTTGTGTTTCTTCGTACAATGTTGCACGAATGCCTAGACCTTCCAGTCAGGCTGGTATGACATGGGTTACAGGTATCTTATCCCAACCAATCACAGAAGACAGTTAGCCGTAACACAGAAAGAATTGTAATTTTCGCCGTCACTAGAATTTGAACTCTAGACCTGCCACTTGGGGGTTGACAACCTATCCACTTCACTAGGTCGGCACACATAATTGCCTCTTCTATTGTATTTCATATACTGTTTATCTTATTTAATTGTTCTTTCTCATTTTGTACTTCTGTTTAAATATTTTTAAGGCTTTCTTTTGTCTTTAGTTACCTTTGTAGTTCTTGTATATAATTTTCCCAATCCTCAGGCTTTGCCTGATCATATAAATATAGTGTTTTTGATTGTTCTTTTTTTTTAATTTTTGCTTTACTATTTTTTCTCATCATATGTTTGATCCATATTTCTGCAATTATTATTTTATAGTTGCTTTCTGTTATTTCTTCTATTTCTTTAATGTTTGCCTTTTGCAAATCCAGAGCTAATTCTTCTGATACCCAAATATAGCCAATTTTTGTTGCAGCTTCCTTGTTTGACCATGTGTACTCTTGGCTTGTTGGATGCATGTTTCTATATATATCTATAAAGCTTTGCTTTCTCATCTAATTAAAGATCGGTAATTTTTTAAAATTTTCTGATTGTGAGTGTTGTCTGTCTATTATATTGTTTACTGTATGATTAAAGTCACCCATAATCACAAATTGTGTTTGTCTTTTTTGTTTAGTAACCCTTTCTACAATCTTTTGCTGAATGAATCTTCCTATTATCTTGTTACTTGGCAGTATATATTATCACTAGCTTCAATTGCTTGAAGTATAGCATAATCTCTATCATGTATTCATTTACTTTTTTGACAGCACCCACATGCTTTTTCCATTGTTCTTCTATTAGAATTCCTACATTTAACCCTTTTTTCTTGTTCTCTGCTACATTTGTCCAATATTCTATATACTTTTTGTTTGTCACATATACTAAAAATCTTCCTTCTCTTTCAACAATATTCGTTTCTGTAATTTCCAATATTGCAATTTCTTTTTCTTTTGCCCAATCTAACAGGTTTTGAGTTTTCAACCTTTGGTCTTCAAACTATTAATATTATGACATGCTATTTTGATTTCTTTTCTTCTTTCTTTCCATTTTTCTTTTAGTTGTTCTTATCTTGTTTTTGTATTGTCAGTGTTTTTAATCACCTTTCTTTTTCTTTCTTTCAAATAAGGGGATGCTTCTCTTTCTTTCTCCTCAAACATTCTTCTTTCCTTCTGCAGAAAGGCTTCAATCTTCTTATCTGTATTTCTAAGCTCAACTAGGGTGCCCTTAGAAGTGGTTAGCTGAATCTCCACTTACTCTCAGCTGCATTTCTTCTATTCTATCTAGTCTTTCTAATATTTGAAACAAAACATCTTCTACTGGTAATATTCTTTCTTGATTTATTATATTCATTTTGGCCTTCTTTTCCTTTGCTATCACTGCCTCTTTCTTTATATCTGTGTTTTTGTTCTCTAACCATGCTTTTATATTTTGTAACTGCAGGTCACTTTCCATTTCTCTATATCTCTTAATAAGTATTTCATATCTTGTACTTCTGACTCTTAATGCCTCTTGTCTTCTGTAATTCAACTGTCTCTCATTGCTTGACTTTGATCTTTCTTGTCTTCTGC